CAAACGTCAGAGACGGCTGGACCCACGGCGGCCAAAGGGACGGCGCTACATTGTGGAAGGAGAAATGGGGGGGGGGGGCTTGCAGGAGAGGGCAACCAAGGAGGCGGGGGGGGGAGACTGAGCCCTTTTCAGAAAGGCGGGGGAGGCTTTCTGGGGATGCCAGGGTCTTGGAGACCCTCAACCAAACAGCTGGGATTTGGGGGGGGGGCTATTCCTGGAATCCTTTGAGGAGGGGCGACGTTGGACTATGGGAAGGCGAACTGGAGGGGGGGGAGATTTCCCCAAGCAAGGCTCCGCTGCAGCCTGGGCACTGACAGCCGGGCAAAGACCCCCCACTTGTTTGGGTCCGGCGAAGTTGGCATCGCAAGCAGCTCCGAGGCCGCTGAAATCCGGCCTTTGCAGACTCGGCGCCGCTTCGCTTGCCCCGCAACCCGGGAACCGAGGGGGGAGGGCGGGCAGGGCAGGACTCAGGGGGGGCCTGGGGGAAACTTTTCCGGACTCCCGCGAGCCTCGGCCGGGGCGCGGCGCCTCCCCTTCCCGGGCAGGGCAGCTGATGTCAGCGCCGCTTCTTCCCACGCCGGAGGGAAGCCGGTTGCGCAAGCCGGCCAGGGACGGGGAAGAGGTGCGCGATTCCCCCCCAACCCCGCCGGGGACCAAGTGGGCTCCTGGCCTCCCCCTCTCCCTCCCGCAGCCCTCTGCCCATGCTCGGGTCTACTCACGCACGCAGAGGCAGGCGATGAGCTTGGTGGCGCCCAGCGGGACGTAGCAGGTGGGGAAGAGGGGCTTGAGCAGGTAGGTGGCGAAGACGAAGGCCACGATGTACTGCGAGGAGGGCCGGATGATGAGCAGCTCGATCCAGAGCTTGAGGAAGGCGGGCAGCGAGCCGTAGACCTCCAGCATGTAGGCGTAGTCGCCGCCCGACTTGGAGATGGTGGTGCCCAGCTCGGCGTAGCAGAGGGCGCCCGCGATGGAGAAGGCGCCGCACGCCGCCCACACCACCAGCGCCAGCCCCGGCGAGCCGGCCTCCTTCAGCACCCCGGTGGGCGACACGAAGATGCCCGAGCCGATGATGGTGCCCACGATGATGGCCACGCCGTTCAGCAGCGTGATGTTCCGCTTCAGCGCCACCCCGCCGCCCGCCGCCGCCGCCCCGTCGTCCTCCGCCGGCCCCGCCGAGGC